GCGCTGGGCTTGGTGCTCAGGTGGGTTCCTTTTTACCTTTGCTGCAGTTGCTTTTCTCCACCTGGATGCATACGTGAAATGTGGTGGCCCAAGGGGGCTAGGGGACCCCCTGGGCTGAGCCAGGGCTCGGGGGGGCCCCCAGGTAYGTGGACGGCCGTGTCTTTGTCACCGAGGTGCTCCCCGAGAGCCAGGCGGAGGTGGACGAGGTGGTGCTGGCCGGCGACGTCCTCGACGAGATCAACGGCCAGTCGCTGCGGAACGCGCACAACGGGCAGGTGGGCGGGCACGGCAGGGCGGGCGTCTTCCTCGCGGAGCCTTCCTCCCCTGACGCGGTGCCCGCAGGCCGGCGCGGCGCTGCAGAAGCTGAGGGGCCGGCCGCTGAGGCTGCGCCTGCTGCGGTGGCGCTGGCACGACGGGGACGTCTTCGCGCCACTCCTGCCCTACCTGCGCGCCCTGCGGGACAGCGAGCCCKGCTTCCAGCTCCAGCGCGGCGCCCGGCGCGCGGCGCAGCGGGAGCCGCGGTGTCTGCGGGGCGGCAGGTAGGGCRGCCATGCGGGGCCTCCAAGGGTGGTGGCAGGTCCCAAACATCGCCCYCAGCACCAGGCCCTCGCTCTGTTGCCCCTTTTCTCCCCAGGCTCCTCTATAACCTGCGGTACCTGGGCCGGAGCAACGTCGGGAAGGTGAGGAGGGATGTGCCAGGGGCTGGGGGTCTCTTCCGAGTTTCTCTTTATGCGCTCCCGGGCTGTTGCCTGYCGCCCGCTCCGCTTGCAGGATGGCAGCAAGGAGGTGCTGGAGCTGGGCATCCCCGCCGTGCTGGAGCGGCGCTGGCCAGCGCGGGTGAGCGACGGGCGCGCGGCCGGGGGCGGCAGGTTCAGTGCTCRCGGGTCCCCCCTTTCCTACGTCTTCATCTTCAGCCCCAGCAGGGGCAGGTGGAGAGGGTGGATCTCATCTGTGTGGCCTGGTGTGTGGGCACACATGGAGGGKGGGGGGGAAAGGGGGGAGAAGCCAAAACTTGCCAGAACGGGAAACATTCCCCAACCGTTTCCACATGCATCTCCTTTTACCCCATGTGAGCTTGGAGCTGCTGTGCTGGATGCACCTCAGGGCCTGACCCTGCTAAGATCCCAAGTATCAGGGACACCCCTCAGCCCCGTTACTTCTCTATTTACAAGCATCTTTGCAGGCAGAATAGAAAAATACATTATGGAAAAAAATAATAGTAACAGCCAAGCAGGGATGTTTGTAGTCTGCTAATGCACAGCCCCTCTCTCCCCTTTCCATCTGTGCATTTTGCCATGAGCRACAGGAAACCCCTTGAAAAAATTGTTTCAGGTGAGACTTACCACCTTTGCTCTCAAATAATCTCTCTATTGCAAGTACCTTATTAAAAATAAAGCTTAAAAGCTGTAATGTTTTGTTGTTGTTGTTTCCCTTTCATTCAGGAGGTTTTGTTGGACGTGAAGGAAACAGAAATCCTCATCCAAGACAAGACTTCCTCCAAGGTGAGAGCGCGATGCCRGAGGGGAGGTGAGAGCCTCCCGGATGGGCTGGGACTGTGTCCATGAGGTGGCCACAGAGCACGGGATGCGTGCGGGACCGTGGCACGTGGCCTGGCTGCGGAGGCGTCGCAGGTGAAAGCAGACACAGGACAGACCAGTGACCCACCAGGCTGCTGTTCTGGCAGCGAGTGATGTGGGGATCACTGAGCAAACAGGAACTGCAGAGAAGCTCGTTTGCACGTAAAGACGGTTTCAAAACTTGACTAAACCAGGCAGCAGAGACCAAAAATCAGTGTTGGTGAAGCAGGGGTTAGGCAGGCTTGTAACTTGGGCCGAGTTTTCCTGAGCTGGACCGTGTCCATGCTGTCCACTGTGCCCGGRGTGGCTCCGTGCACACTGCATCCCAGCAGGTGCTCAGGGGAGCAGCGCGGTAGGTGCTGTCGCAGCGATGGTGATGGAGTCATCGGAGAGCAGCCGAGCGCCGCGTGGGATCGACACCCTCAGGCTGCTCTTGCAGGTTCCTCCTTGCACAGCGTGTCGAGCTCTGGGTTCGCAGAGCAGCTGGGCCAGAGGGCTGTCCTGGTTTGTGCATGTGGTGAAGCTGGTTCCTCCCCAGCAGCTCCACTTCRCTCCAGCTGAAATTCCACGGCAGGATGAGCTCTTAGGGAGGAACCGGAGCCACGGCCGGCTCCCCTGCAGCCCTGCCCTGACACCCTCCCCGATTCCCTGCGCAGGTCCTGCTCCGCTACCCCTATCCTGAGATCTCCTGCGTGGGCCGCCGCTTGGGCAGCAGCAGCGTATTTGCCTTCTGCGTCCTGTAAGTGCTGCCCGTGGGACGAGCCCGGCCACGACGCCCAGGCGAGGGCTCGCGAGTGCCTGTCCCCGCGTGACCTAAAACAGGTGCCCAGGAAGCGAGAGCAGGTGG